AAAGAGAGGAGCGAACTGGAGGGGGGGAAGGGCTGGGTGGGGAGAGAAGTGCAGCAATGAATGAATGGAAATCCAAAATCTCTGTAAATGTTCATTAAAATTATTTTTAAAAAGATGAGGAAAGGCCGTCCTCCTCGTCCTCCAGGTCGCCCGCCTCCATCGGAGTCCACCTGCCGCCGCCCGCTCCTCCAGCCCCGCGCCGCCGCCGCCGGCCCCGGGCAGATGTCCTTCACCTTCGCCTCGCCCACCCAGGTGTTTTTCCACGATGCCCTCGTCCGCCAGGTGGATGTGTCCACGCAGACAGGCTCCTTCGGCATCCTGCCGTCCCATGTGCACACACTGCAGGTCCTGAAGCCCGGGTTGGTAGTGGTCCACGCTGAGGATGGCACCACCAGCAAGTACTTCATGAGCAGTGGCTGTGTCACAGTCAACGCTGACTCTTCTGTGCAGTTGCTGGCAGAAGAGGCCGTAACGCTGGACATGCTGGACGCTGGGGCAGCCAGGGCGAACCTGGAGAAGGCACAGGCGGAGTTGGCCGGGGCAGCTGACGAGGCCCAGCAGGCGGAGATCCAGATCCGCATTGAGGCCGGTGAGGCCCTGGTGAAGGCCCTGGAGTAGTGGTGTGTGCCCCGCGGAGGGCTGATCACCTCGGGAGGGCCAGGAGACTCCCACCCCTTTTCCCTCAGACCAGATGTCAAGAAGGCTGCCGCTGCTGAGGAACAAACTTCCTCCCCCTGAAACACACATGCCAATTAAAGATCGGGAACCGCCCCCCCAAAAAAAAGATGAGAAAAAAAAGAACTGATACTGCATAAAACCATTATTGTAAAAATAGATTACTAGTAAGATGTTACAAAAGTCCAAAGAGGGAAGGGAAGAAAGGAGGACGGCTTGGGGAGGGGGTGGAAATCACAAGGTCACACAGTTTGGTGGGTAGAGGGAGGGGGTTAAGGAATTATGAAAGTACCATTGGAGACTTGAGAAGGCAGGTGATTATCTTTATAAAGCACAATGTATGAGAATGATCATGTGAAACGCAATGTGAATAGATGAATGTGTGAAATACAGTGTACATAAATAAAACACAATGTAAACAAATTATGTATGCAAATACAAAATAAAAATATTTTCTTTTCGGAAGAAGTTAAAAAAAAAAGTTTGATGTTCCTATACCAGCCTTTGACACAGTGACTTAAGCAGTGAGCTCAATTATGTAGAAATGATGAGGATGGTACAGGACAGGACAGGGTTCAGATCTGTTGTTTATAGGATCACTGTGAGTCATACTTGACTAGATGGCATCTAACAACAACAGCCCAACCAACAACATCTAACAACAAGAAGACCAAGAACGGGCAACATCTTTCCAAGAACAAAGCTCAGAAGGGATGAAGGGAAAGGAAGGAAGGACAAATGAAAATTGTAATCACATCAGGGAAGTGGGGAAAGTACTGTTATACTCTGGGATTTGCAACCAGTGCTGTGAAACGAAATGTGTATGAATTTGTGTATAGAAATTCAGTTTGCTCTAAATTTTCACCCAAATGACAATTTTTAAAATGTAAAAAAAAAGATGATTTGATGTTCCTTTCTCAGCTCTCTTTCTACACATTTACACACATACATGGCATATTTGTGGATATAGACACATACATTCTAAAATATTAATAGGATACCTTTGGAAGTATTGCTTTTTAAAATTACACAATGCCTAAAGATACAGTGAAGCCAGAGTGTTCCTTGAAGGGAAGAATGACGAAGCTTCATCTCACATACTTTGGGCATGTTATTAAGAGGAGCTTTTCTCTGATGGCTTGAGACTTAGGCCATCACATCAGGGGCTGGTCAATGATAGATGGGGGTTGAATGTTGTAGGCAAAAGCAGGAAGGGTTGATGGTGGAGTAGGGAAAGGGTGGATTAAAAAAACCCCAAACAAAACAAAACCAAAACAACCAAACATGTAGCGGGGTGGGCAGGAACATTGAATATTGGTCTTTTTCTAACTGGTAAATGTCTTTCATCTGCTCTTTTCTGTAGAATGCTTGTCTGTCAGATACTATTATATATATTTAAAA